TAGAGGCCTTAACAATTACCTATACTATGTTGGGCGGGGGGGGGGGCTCCTTATTTTGTTATAATTCTAGTATAACGGTTCTCAAAGCCCTATTCTAATTACATCCTACAAAACCCCTAAACCCTAAACCCTCATTATTAAGGCCCCTACGTTACATCCTACAGCATGAACCCAAGATCCGTCTGATCAAGAACTCTGCTTCAGGGTTTAGGGTTTAGGGATCTCGTATAAACCCGTCAGACTTCGACTGATAAGATTTGGAACTCTATCAAAATCCCACACCTTCCCTAAACCCCAAATCCTAAACCCTAAACCCTAAATCTTAAACCGTATATTCACCAATTCCTGAGAGGAACCAACCTGATCCCCCCGGATCCCCACACCTTCAGCTGCTCGGTGGCATGGGGAAGGTCTTAGGGATTTTGTTATTCTTTTATGATCGGGTGTCGCAGGGCTGTATAAGAGTATCATAGGGTTTTACAACAATTCTGTTCGGGGTTTGGGGTTCAGGGTTCAGGGCTTTTGTGCTGTCAGGGTTTAGGGCTCAGGAATTCAGCGAGTGTTTACGGTTCAGGGTTCTTGGGGTTTAGGGTTCAAGATTTAAGGTTTAGGTTCTAGGGTTTGAGTCTGAGATTTAGGGTTTGGGGTTTAGGGTTGCTGCCACATAATAAAGTGCGAACCCTTGCTCAAACGAAAGCCCTGAGTTGCCTTGAGCCTAATACCCCTGAATTAAGGAACATAGCTTAAATCAAAACAGGCTTCATACTATGGTTTAAACTCTCTTCCTTTCTTGAAGGGGTGTTTGGCTCTCTTTGGATTCAAGTCCCTGAAGCCCTGAACCCTAAACCCCAAACCCTGAACCCTAAACCCCTAAACCCCAAACCCCAAACCCTAAACCAGTGCAGGCTACAGCGAGCTCCCATTGCCTCGTGTGGTTTGGTCCCTGCACAGCGAAGGCTACTCCAAGTGGCGGAGGTGCTCGTTTCGGACCACTCCCCTGCATTTTGGGGTTTAGGGTTTAGGATTTTGGTTTAGGGTTTCGTAGACCCTCAACCCTAAACCCCGAACCCCTGGTTTTGGGTTAGGCTTGATACATGAAGGTTACGGCCAGCTCCGGGACAATGAAGCTTGAAGAATAAGGGAGTGCAACCCTGAATCTCAAGCCGTAAGCCCCACTCGGAGGATCATGGGACTTCGTAAGTGAGTTACAAGTACCCCTGAATTGGGGTTATAAGGGTAGTAACGCATGTTTGGCAGGATGTTGTTGAAAAGATTGCAATCACCCGCAGTTGGCGGTGAACCTGGCTGCCACCGCTCTAATCTTCCAAACCTTCCCCCCCTGCCTGGAGATGTCGCGAGCTGCCATCTTCATGCATAAGATGTTGGCACTACGGGTCCCCTGGCCTTTGGCCTCCAACCCTGAATGCAGGGGAGCATGCATCCCTTGCTTTGCGCGATGGCGACATCAACACTTCCCGGCATTTGGAGGTAGAGGTACTGATGTTCTGGATAGTGTCCTGTTTCGGTCAGGATACCAATCATACCGGGGAGCGATGACACTGATCTTCCAGGCAGTGACACGCGTTTCGTGTCCCTTCCTAGCCTTTGCTTACGCTACTGGCTGTCTGGGCCCATGGTGTGCACACCTTGTCCCCTTGCACCCTTTCGCATGGGCCTGCTTGTCTGCCTCCGCATAGCGCAAGTCGGAGAATGTGACTCTGAAATCACCTCGCATCGGTCAGGTGCCCACTCGCTGCTCCAATTGACAGACGCACTCCAGCGTCACCTGGAAATGTTGCTCCAGGTCTTGCACGGATCCACAGTTTGCATCGCAGTTTTCACCGACAGCTGTTGTATCCCACAGAGTCACACAACTGCACGGTGCAAGCTGCCCGTAGATTCCTGGAGCAGAACCTGCTGTGTCCCGAAAGCTGTAGCGGAGGCATGGAAATTATTTTTGTTCTTTCGCTTTGACCATCGTCGCGAGAAATGCCCAATTCGGAATGAACATGTGGCTTCGCCCAAACTTGAGTCTGTGATACTCAATGCTCTTAACCTGGCGAAAAGATAGGAAATCATCGAGCTAGCTTTGCCCGCCGTTCTAGCAAGCCAACACTTCCGCAACTGCCATCTTGACATGTCGCCCAAAGCCTTTCGCTTCCACGACACTTATGCAGCCATCTTCATTAATATAGGGGCCTAAATACTTATCAACATTATTTTTGGGTTCCTTCTTCTAACTATAGTATAAAGGACCCCAAAACCCTATTCTAATTTGTAAGCCCCCAAACCTTAAAACCCTTGTAGTAGCCCTTTATAGAACCCTTTCTAAAGGAACCCCAAAACCCTATTCTAATTATTAAGGCCCCTAAACCCTAAAACCCTTAGTAGCCCTTTGTAGAACCCTTTCTAAAGGAACCCCAAAACCCTATTCTAATTATTAAGGCCCTTAAACCCTAAAACCCTTATAGTAGCCCTTTAAAAAGGGTGGAACCCCAAAACCTTATTCTAATTATTTAAGGCCCCTACATGAACCGGCCACCGGCTCTAGGGTCCCTGGCCTTTGGCCTCCAACCCTTTCGGTTTAGGGTTTAGGGTTTAGGGTTTAGGGTTTAGGGTTTAGGGTTTAGGGTTTAGGGTTTAGGGTCCATCTTGCCGGCATCTTGGAAAGCCTCTCCGCAACAAAAAGGGAAGCCAGTAGCTAGCTGCGGTGAAAGCTTTTAATATCTGACACTATCCTCGGAAGCATGGTTCTAGCGCTCCGGCAGGTTTTGTAACTGTGGATGTTGCTGGTGCGTTTGCGTCGCTATTGGATGTTCTTTGCGAAGCTCCGAGATATGGGAGCTAGGATTAGGGGGACCCTTGGGGATATAGACCCTCTCAATAAGGTCCCTTTTCAGAGAGCCAAAAGTAGGGTTCAAAGGGGTACCCTGTAAGGGGTACCCCTAATAATACTACCTAAGTTAGCTGCGCAACCAACCCTGTTGGTTCGTGACGGCTTCGCAGGGTCTGCTCCTCGCTGGTGGATGCAGAGTTTGCTGCTTGGATGCCGGATTCGTTGTTCGTTCAGGGGTTTCATCCTCATCCTCATCCTAGTCCTCATCCTCATCCTCATCCTCGTCCTCATCCTCATCCTCATCCTCATCCTCATCCTCATCCTCATCCTCATCCTCATCCTCATCATCATCATAATCTCGGCCCCGCATGGCCTTGCCGGGTCTTTGCAGTTGCGGGCTTGGGGATTGCCATTGAACGGTAGCACTACGTGCACAAACTGTTGAACCCTTGCTCACAAGCCCGAAGATCTAAGCAAGCCTAGTGTGCAGAACACACATATCAAGGGACTAAAGGAGGGACCCTTAAAGGGACCCTTGGGGTTGTATAGGGGCTTTAAGAGACTATATAAGGGGTACATAAGGGTTATATAGGGTATTTGGATTAGGGGTCCCTTCTAGGGGTCCTTAAACATAGGTCTGGGGGTTGCAGCAGTGCCGGCGTCAGTAGCAGCAGTGGCGGTGATGGCAGCGGTGGTGGTGGTGGTCATCGTCATCGTAGTCGTGTCGTCGTGCAGTTGGCTTGTCAATACCAGCCACACTCATGACCAGACCAGGAAAAGCACCGTAATAGCCCTAAACCCTAAACCTTAAACCCTTGGCTCCAGACTACTGCAGCGCAGAAAGAGGGGTCATTGCACTTTAAACAAAAACCCTTAAAACTTTTTGATACCCTTGTGCATAAAGGCACCGTGCTCTTGCAGTCACCGAGGCTATACTTCCTCCGTGGGATCGCCACTCGGCTGAGGGATGAAGGTGGACGAGGTGGGTAGCGATTGTTATGCCATTCCTTTAGAACGTTCTCCACGACCCCTCTGGTGTCACCACTGTCGGAGTGCTAAACCCGATACTTCCTTGGGCTTTATCCTCGTCCTTCATCCTCCCTAAGTCCTGTTTCCAGCATCGATCTAGGCCACGTGGCTTCACGCTACGGCCTAGATATCTTGAAGTACTTAGGTACGAACTGACAATGATAAGACAAACTACGAGCTTTACACGAAGTAGTATGACACTTCGAATGCCGGGAAAATATGCTCTGCTTCTGCTTCCGACTTGCTTCTCAAATTGGAACCCAGCCCAGCGCCATCCAAAGTTGAGGAAGAGTCCGTAGGTTACAGAAGGGGGTCCCCTTAAGGGATGTTGGAGTCTCAACCCTAAACCCTAAACCCAAGCCTTACCCTGAAACTCCAACTTCCCTGGAACCCCACTGAGGAGCTCCAAGACGGAGCTTTCTCCCGCGAAAGGCCAGCTGGCCTTTTTGGCTTCTGGTGTTTCCTTTTTTTGCTTTAGAGTTTTTTTGGGGGTACGGTTTAGGGTTTAGGGTTTAGGGTATCAGCATCCTGTGCTGAGCTGTTCTTGATTTGGCTGCTTGTGCAGTCTGGGTTTTGGTCCAGTTTGTTGTGCAGAGTCTTCCATTAGGTGTTTAGGCGTGCGTTTCTGTGCTGGTCGGTGAGGCCTTTCAAGGTGTTTTGAGTTTCCTGGCGCTTGCTTGAGCTTCTGGATTTTGGCAAACCGAGGATATGTATCCTAAACCCTAAACCCCAAATCCCAAACCCTAACCCCTAAACCCTAGGTGTCAGAACTCTGGGTTTCAGGGCCCTTCTGAGGATTCCCACGGCCCCAGAACTCGGAAAATATCCCGCCGAAGCTGAACGAGGATCCTCCTCATCCGTTCCGGTAAAGGTCCCCCCTTAAGGGAGCCCTAAAGGGTACCCTATTGTAGAACCCCATGGTGTCCCTAAGGGAAGTGGTACAGGTTCTAGAAGAGATCCTTTATGGGGTTAGCTTTAGGGTTTGCGGGTTTAGGGGTTTAGGGTTTAGGGTTTAAGGTTTGCGGGATTAGGGGTTTAGGGTTACGTCCCACACTGTCAAAGCGGGAGTCCCTAAGCCCTAAACCGAAAAAACCCGAAGCGGGAGGTTCAGTTGCACCTTGGCGTGAGCCTTTACCTGCCACCAGAACATGTGGGAACCTCAGTCAACTTCAAGTTGGGTTTAGCCCTAAACCCTAAACCCTAAACCCTAAACCCTAAACCCTAAACCCTAAACCCTAAACCCTAAACCCTAAACCCTAAACCGTTAGGGTTTAGGGTTTGGGGGAGACTGGGGCTGGAAGCCATTAGCTCTGAACCCTGAACTGAACTCCTGAGCTTATTCACCGAATAGTCTTAAATACTAAATCCATTATTTCAGAATCAATCATGAGTGATTACATGGGCCCCAAAGCCCGAATCTTAACCCACAGCTCTTAACCTTCCTGCGAGGTCAAGGGTTCAGGGTTTAGGGTCTGTGATATCTAACATGAAGCTTGTCTACTCTGAGTCATGTGGTTTAGGGTTTAGGGTTTAGGGTTTAGGGTCCGGATAGTGTTGGAGGACCTTAGTCGTTGAGCGCAGTGCCAAAGCGGCACACCTGAATAAGGGAAACCCTCAATCGGATTTGTGGCGGTTTCCTGGGCCCTAAACCCTAAACCGGGGTCTCTAAATTAGGGTTCCCTTGTAGGGTTCCATTAAAGGGATCTAGGTTTAGGGTTTACGGTTCTTTTTTGTAGTTGTTGGGCTTTCTGTAAGGGTACTGTAGTGGTTCTATATGGGTAGTTCTCTAAATCAGGGTCCCTTTCAGGGTCCTTTCTTTATAAGGGTGCCGTATTATTTTGGGGACCCTGACGCTGAATAGGGACCCTAAACCCAAAACCCTGAACCCTAAACCCTAAACCTTCCCTAATTTAGAGAACTGCTCGCTTGCGGATCGGATGCAGGTCGGTGCAGAGGACTCTTTTCCTCTGCTGTGCATGAGCCTTGGTCTCTCTGGGAGTGGCACATTCATGTCTTGGGTTTAGGGGTTTAGGGGTTTAGGGGTTGAGGGTTTAGGGTTTAGGATTTAGGCTTTTCGGGGTTTAGGGGTTTAGGGTTGGGGGTTTAGGATTTAGGGTTTAGCGTTCAGGGTTGAAGTTTGGTTATCAGAGCTCTCGTTAGGTTTTTGGGGTATCTGCAGGGCGTTGTCATGTAGATAGAACTCGGGAGGGTAAAGTTTGCACTGTGTATTTGAAGACTCTCTACTCGCCTCTCGTGTTCCATTTTCGGATTTCGGATTAGGGGTTTTCTTCAATTTTTGTCCCCTAACCCTAAACGCTAAACCCTAAACCCCGCATTTCTGAAGCTCCCATTTCAAGAGTTGGGTCTTGGCCTAGATATGTCAAACGTTCAGTACGGCTTATTTCGCAATATGGAGCTCAAGAGATTGATGTGGTAGCTCCTAAGCTTATGTTTGACAGTTCAGCAAAGAAAGAAGGGGATCCGACGCTATCCAGACACATAATACACGGCACAGGTTCCACAATTCGTAAACTTAGGTATGTGCTTTTCGGCAGCTGGCGGACGAACCTGTCACAAACTTCCAGTCGTGACAATCCCAGAGACTCCAAAACCCCTTAATTAAGGAATATACCTTAAATTATAATAGGATCCCTAATATCATTGAAGGTATATTCCTTAATTAAGGGGTTTTGGAGTCTCTGGGATCGTGACAGAACGCACTCCCAGGCTGAAGCCCCTAAACGGTACCCCTAAACCCCAAGCCTCAAACGCCTTCCCGTGGACAGCGAACCATTGAACTCTAAACCCCTGACCCGTGAATCTCAAACCCTAAACGCACCGCCAGGGCGTCATGTCTGCTAGATCGAAACCCTGACCCTGTGTCCTGGCCCCAAACCATGCCCAAACCCTGAAACTCTTCATACACCATGCAGCATCTTGATTGCACAGGCCCCTAGATACACATCATTCAAATCCCGGCTCAAACCCCACGTAAGCTCTTGCGGCGTTAAGCTTCATCCGAAATCCAGAACTTTCGGAAGAATTGGCTTGGGTCAATCCTTTTGGAGCAACCACCAAAAGTGTGCCCCTAAGCGTCTGGGCTCGAGCACTAGTCGAGGTAGTGTGCTATGATTTTCCATGCGCGTCCTGATGAGCGGCCTGCGATGAAACGCCTTGTCACCTCCGCCTGCGTACTCCTACTGCAGGTGCCCGGCTTGGCAATCTGTGCCTCTGCCTTGCTTAGGCCTGCCTGGTTAGATCTGCTTTCGGATGATTGCAGTCGGTTACCTGGCCACCGACAGTTTGGGCATGACTCTCAGGACGATAGATGCAGACACATACCGCATTACTGCACAGTGAGCCTCCTCGGTCCCAATTCCGAGGTCCCTGCCTGTGATGATAATCTACTTCTCTGCTTTCCTACAGGCTTGGAGGACGCGAGGGTTGGCTTTCCCTCCGGCGGGGAGCCTGGAGTGCGCGCTCTTTGCGTGTACAAATCAGCCGGACTCGCACACAACTGTTTTCCACTACACACTTGCGTTGACCCACTGGCATCTATAGATATGCCCACTGTCTTGAAACCAGCTTCCTGGCTCTCGTTATGCTCTACCCCAGTGCCTTTCTTTACTGTAGGCATGCTCTCACCAGTCCGGTCTATGAGCTGTGGCTGCCACGCTCAGACCCCAGCTCGTTCTGGTGTACCAGTCTCTTCATTGAGCTGGTGTGCTCAGATGCTGACTCGTGACGCTTCATGCAACGCCGCGCGCTTGTCCCGGTCGAATGCTTTGCAGCTTCATCCCCAGGTGACTTCCGTGCGCTGCTGGCGCGCTGAGACATCCTGTCTGGAAGGCTGGGCTGCGGTTGCCGCGCCTCAACGTATTTTCTGGGGAGCAACGGTAGTAAGCCAAATAAGTCTCATGCAACCGGGATCGCATTGCGCCGGCTGGCCTTGGCCGCTCGGCCTCTGCCCTCTGCCCCCTCTCGGTTGCTTCCACCATAGTACATTGGAATGTACACTCACAGGATTGCGACATGTTTACTGCTGGTCGCTCCACAGGTACTCGTCTGGCTCTTATTGCCGGGCCCTCATATCTCTAGGTAGCAAGCCCCAGTGTAAAGTCTTGGCAGCTCGTCCTGGCACTCTCGTCGCGCCGCTGCTTGAGTTGCTGACCGTTCGTAGCCATGAATGGATTCTACCGAAGCTGCCTTTGAGATCGTCTGATGGACAGCCCAGAAAGGTTCTGTGCTGTCGTGCTTTGAGTCCCATGGGCCGCGTGAAGCGGCAGCTCCGGTCAGCACAAAGGCCTTCGCGGCATGCACGCCTTGGCCTCCCGCGACCACCTCCGATGGGATCTGCTTCGTCAGCTAATGGAGATGTAGGGGCTATTCCTGCTGAGCAGACGCTGCTACGCGGACTGCCGTTGTTGCAGATTCCACCTCGCGAAGAGGACTTGGAGCTATCACTGGATCACCCTGAAGTCTGTCCACCACCTGTCACTGCCGAGGGTGTGGTTGCCACCCCTGCGGCTGCAACGCTACAGACGGATACTTTGACCTTCATGGCCTCCACCCTAACGTCCCAGTGTCACGTTGTACTGGTGCTGACTCCCCATACCACTCCTTTGTTCTCGGGGTGGAACAGGCAGCTTATGCTTCAGCGTGATGTGCTTCACCATCTGAGTCTACCCGATCGCACAGCCCCCCTTGCCATCTGCGACATTGACCGAGCTGCGCCTTCATCTGGCGACAACGCTTCTCTGGAGATGCCAGGCATGATGACCCAAAAGGGTTGGTCCGTGAGGGGTGTACCTCCAACCCTACACTCCACAGCCTGTCTGCGCAGCTTGCGCTGCAGTTTTTACGGCTGTCCTCTGAAGTTCCCTAACCCAGGATGCCCCTTAAATAGCCGCCCTTCCCCTGCCCTCTGCTGTGCTCTGGCAAGGCCCGGTGACAGCGAACAAGACCGTCGTCGTCTACGGGGATGCGCTGACGCAATGGGCTGTGGTTGCCGCGCCCAGGGAGTGAAGACTTCTTTGGAAATAGCAAGTTACACAGATGGCATACGCTGCATCGACAACGACATCAGACCGCATGCATTAACGGCAGAGTGCATAACACACAGTGCGAAGACAAAACCAACTGCTGCCTTGGAAGTGTCTTGCGTGATTGTACAATTCTGGGACGACCGAGGCCTCACCTACATTGAGCAGTGCCTGGCGACAGTTCGGCTCCCAGCTGAGTCTCGCGCCTTCAGCTGCCCCTGCAGCCCTGCAAACCAAGAGCCCTGTTGGTCCCGACTCCAGTGCCTGTTGCACTTGACGCCTCTCTGTCCTAAACCAAATAGGATGCAGCAGAAGGGTCATGTCTGCCATCACGGTGTGCAGTTGTCGTGTCCGAAGCCTCTCTGGGCACGGATGAGCCTGTGCATTTTTGGGAGTAGCGTGTTCTACCTGTGCCCGTATGCTGGGGCCCCAACTGCATTGTGCCAACATGTCTTTCTGTGCCCTCAACCCTACCTCCCCTCTGATTCGAGCGCCATGGGGAAACGCAAGCGTCAGGAGCGCTCGCACCAGCGCCCCTCGAGGCATGTGCGCCTGGGGCTGCCGAAACCAGTGCCTGCATCTGTAGCTGGCTTGGGCGCAGAGGCGGAGTCGGGCACAAACGAGGAAGGCGCTACAGACGAAGCTGTCATTGATGCGTCCTCTGGAGACGAAGCTCTGAGCGAACACCAGCTCGTTACAGACGGAGGCGCTGAGCCTGCATGCAGCGTTACCTCACTGCATGGGGCAGCGGCTTCTTCTAGTGCGCATACCCCCCAGGCTGCGGTTGCCGTGCCTGCGGGAGGTGTGCTTGCTGACACTTCTCACACTTTGCCTGGAGGCAGGCCGTGCCCTCCAGCCCCACCGCTGCCGGCGTGGTACATGGATCGCAATCCTTTTGACAACAGCATATATCTGGATGAGGAGCGCACGCGGGATGTGCGGGCAAGGTTACGGCGACGTAAGCAAAGAGGTTCCATGTGGAGGCTGCCAAACGGCAAATTCGAGTGGAGACCCTCGCCGGAGCCAGATCGACAGGAGTCGGATGCGCCTGACGCGTGCACTGCAAAACTTTGTTGCTGCACCTGCGTTGGCATTGCAGTTGCTGATGGTCTAATAAGTCATGCACCCCTTTCTCTGTGTATCCCTATGACTGCTCCCCTCCCAGATGTTCTGCACGCCGTAGCTGTGCCCTTGTTCCTAGGTCGGACGAATGCTCTGGTCCTGCGGCGAGCGTGGCTACAGTGTGCTCCAGGTGGGCTAGGGGGCGTGGAGTCCAAGCTGGCTCTTCGTGCCAAGCTGACAGACGTGTGCAGGCGAAAGGATGTGATAATGTGCTGTCTAGAATTGGTAGTGGGGTTGGTGGTTGCCACGCCCTCAATTGCTAGCTCATTCCCCTATCTTGCTCAACACACGAGTGCCGATGATTGGAGGGTGGCGGTTGGTGGGCGACGACGTATGTGGCGCTGGTGGCGTTCTAAACAATCGCTTCGTTGGAGGCGACAGCGGTCGAGACGGCGCTCGCAGAAAGTCTCAGTCCATTACCCTCTGCTATTCAGTTCCTGGATGCAATGGGGCCAATGCAATGGCACTTACTCGTCTCGTAAACAGGCTTCGGTAGGCCAGGCCCCGAAAAAATGCCCCTGCCCAGACCCCCGTTCTCGGCTCGAGAATGGGGGTCTGGACAATGCTTGTTCTGGCTGTCGCTCTAGGGCCTTCGCCTACTCCGCGCCTGCGTATAACACCCCGGGCTCAGTCCCCTCGGTTACCTGGCCACCTGCTCGTGAGAGGAGTGTTCTTCTCCTCTGGCATGTGCTACTTGCCTCAACCTGCCGCACAGCTGATGCGATGGCCTCGCATCCCACGACAAGGCCTCCACAGTTTCCGCACTGGATAACCAAAAGGGCATACAAACGTGCAGTGAACAGAGCGTTGCACG